TTTTTTCTTTTTTTTTTTTTTTTTCCCAAACTTGGGGAAGTAGTGTTAGTGAGGATACAGGAGAGAAGGGTGAGCATGCAGTTGTGATGGTGGGATTATAAACTGGTGGGATGGATGCACCTTCCCAAACATCCCTTGGGTCCCCCATGAGCCCGCAGGACCCTCAGTGAGTCGTGGGCACCAGCCGCGGTGGAGCGAGCTGCTGCTGTTACCCCAGGGCAAACAGGGAACGTGTTGGGACAGGTTTGGTGGTGCTGGGGCTGGTTCCATCTCTAGATGTCCTGCCAGGGCACCTCACCGGTGGGTGCTGCTGGTATGTGGTGGCTGTGTCTTGAAGAGACCTGCCCTGGCACATCCACCCTTACCTGTTCGATCACCTGCCCTGAATGCTGTAGATTGGGCTGACGCTCATTGCTCACTGCCTGACGAGCTGAGCTTCATAATTAGTTGCAACAGGACCTGCCAACGCTCCTTGGGACCCAGACCGCTGCCGGGGAGAAGCCATGTCTTTATCAGCCCTTGCTAATCCCCATTTTCTCCCCACCTTTTCCTCCTGACTGCGCCCACATCTCCCTCTCTTAGGTGCTCGGCAGTGACATGATCGCTGCAGGACAAAGTTTGGCCTTTGCAGTGTTTAGCAGAACACTGGTATGTGAGCTGCAGGTCCAGCCACAGTGTCCTGGACACAGCAAAACTGCTGCTTGGAGCAGGACAGGCAGTCTGTCCTGGACCTTGCCTGTGCTCGCTTTGCCAGCATTGCCAAATCCTGACTACCAGCAGCTTCAGCAGGGACTGGCTGGGCTGTGCAAAGCTCTGCCCATGTTTTCCTGCCCAGCCCAGGTCCCCTGAACTCTCAGGTCCACAGTTCAGCTCAGGAGAGAGCAGAGCAGGGTATTAACAAGAGGAACACCCCAAGGCAGGTGCCAGAGGGGCTGGAAGTTATGCAGGAGAGCCCGGCTGTTTTCCCTGGAGCCGAAAGGACTGAAACCAAACAGTCCTCAGATACTCGCTTTTGTCCAGGTTGGAAGTTCCCCCAGAAAACTCTAGTGGGGTTTTCTCTCTGGGAGATTGAAACAGAAGGTTTCACCTCCTTGCTTCGTGCAGGTGTGAGCAGCACTGTGGCCCCCCTCAGCCACTGATTCCCCTGCGGGCCCTGCTTGTCCCCATCCCCTCTCTTTGCAGGGCTGCTCTGAGCGCAGCTGGGTCAGCCCAGAGGCAGGGGAGCCGGGAAGGTGTGAGCCCAAGGTGTGATGGCCAGGGCTGTGTGGAGATATTGCTGTCCTCCTGACCCAGCTTGTTAAATCACAGCTTTTGTCTACAGATCACTCATTTTGTGTTTTCAGCCAAACGTTCATCTCTAGAGGTGCAGCTTTTTGTGACCGTGCTAGGTTTTCATGAGAGCTCACACGATGCAGATGGGTGTTTGTGCAGCCTCCCTGCGAAGGGTGGTGTGAGTACACGTCTGCGGTGCCTGGGGATGCTGCTGCTGCGGTGAATCTCCTGCACATCCCTTCCCATCACAGCCTCCGCCAAGGGCGGGACGTGCTGACCAGCTCCAGGTGGCCCAGAAGCCGAGGGGCTGCTCGCATATATATCCCTGCGTGTCCAGGTACCGATGGAGCAGCTGGGGCAGTGTGTGGGTGTGCTGGAAGCGTGCTGATGTGGCAGGGCATCGCTGTGTACACAGTGCAATTGCTCACCACCCGCTGACCGATGTCCAGCCTGTCCTGAGCAGTGATCATTCTCCCCCCCGGCCAACTCCCCCCGAGCATGACGTTATATGGTCTGTCATAGCTCTTTGGCCAGTTGGGGTCAGCTGTCCTGGCTGTGCCCCCTCCCAACTTCCTGTGCCCCTGGCAGAGCAGGGGAACCTGAAAAAGTCCTTGAGTGGTGTGAATCCTGCTTAGCAACAACTAAAACATCAGTGTGTTATCAACATTCTTCTCATACTGGATCCAGAACACAGCACTGTGCCAGCTACTAGGAAGAAAATTAACTCTGTTCCAGCCAAAACCAGCACAGCTAAGTAGCCTCAAAACCCAGGGATGGTCTTGCACAGCCCCACATAGCAGAGAGGGCACATTGTGCTGCTGTGATGTGTGTGCTCAAGGGGATTTATATTTTGAAACCCAGCAAGGTGGAACCTCACCTTGATTACAGGGTCTTGGCCAGGTTTAATTACAGTGTGCAGTGGAGATGGGTACAAACATCTGGCATCTCAGGGAGGCAGGATGTGGATAGCTGCATGCTGGGGAAGGCGGCAGTGGGTATGAGCTGGGGGACAGGGGGGTGGACACTCCCCTCCATTACCCTCTGGCTTTTATTGTCGTCTTTTGTGCTGCTCAAAGCTGGGCTTCTAGCCAGACATGTTTTCGCAGCTGTGCCACGCATGGGGTAACTGTGGGGCACGGGTTCCCATGGATGAAGAGCAGGGATGGAGGGTCTCCGAGGCTGCCACAGGAGCCGTGCTGCCTGCACCCTGCAGGTACCAGCACCGGAACAGGACAGGCACCCATGGTGTGCAGGAAACCCCCAGGCAGGTCCAAAAAGTCTCTGAGACTGATGGGAAACTGCCAGGCCCCAGGGTCTGGCACTGCTTGGTGAATGGGAATAGGAAGCCATGAATTTCAGCATAATATGATTATAAGGCAGAACTTGTATGAAGTCCCACTTTTCTCATACTACAGTAATCTGTCCTGAGCTTTGTACTCAGTACCTATGCAGCTCAACTTGGTGCAAGTTCTCCTAAACCCAGCTCTGAGCTGCTCTCATACGCTCTTACCAGGTCAAACAGACCTGCTTAGGGAGCCTGGGGTTCATCCCAGACAGCCGGCCCACCTGACAGAGTGCAACTCGCCTGGCCTGCTCCAGACTTTAAAAAACACTCTTTTTTTTTATTACGATTTTTTTTAAGGCATATTTTAAAATAAGTCTCCTATTCTGGCTCAGACAGACCTCCTTGGTCTGCCCAGAGTCTTGCTGAAGGAGGGATGCTGAAAGGTCAGGCTTGATGCAGTCATGCCTCCCGCAGGTGACACGGGTTGGACAGCCTCAGACAGAAATGATTTCTGGGGCATGTGCCTGTTCCCCCAGGTCTCGTTGGACTCAGAGGCATAAACACATGTGTCACTGCTAAGGGTGGTAGTGAAACCTCTCAAATTGCTGTGCAACTCAGGGTCACGTCACTCCTGTCTAGTCACGTTGCTCCATGAGATGGCTTTCCTCCTTCAGTGGATGGAGGTTGGAGGGAGCTTTCCTCACCCTGGGCTGTTGTGTAAGGGACTGTCACTACTTGCAGCAGCCCCTCACGAGGCTGCGTGGCCTCCTGCCATCTGACCATGTACTGTCCCCAGGTGAGTGGCATCTGTTGAGTCCACCTCTTGCTTATCATAGACTGTTTTGGGTTGGAAGGGACCCCTAGAGGTCATCTAGTCCAACCCCCCTGCAGTGAGCAGAGACACCACCAACTAGATCAGGTTGCTCAGAGCCCCATCCAGTCTGGTCTTGAATGTTTTGAGGGATGGGTTCTCCACTACCTCTCTGGGCAACCTGTTCCAGTGTTTTACCACCCTCATTGTAAAGAATTTCTTCCTTATATCTAGTCTAAACCTACCCTGTTTTAGTTTAAAACCTTTACCCCTTGTCCTGTCACAGCTGGCCCTACTAAAAAGATTTTCCCCATATCTGAGCTTCAAATGCTCAGATATCTCTTCGCTGGCCCTTGGCAGCTACAGAAGCATTGCCTTCATGAGCCCCTGGCTGCAGGCACTGGGCTCTACAGCCCAGGGTCATGATGGCATACTCCATCACCCCTTTCTATATGTGATGTCTGGAAGGCACCGCTGGACTAGCTTAGAGTGCCTTGCAAAATCCAGCATGGGGATGCTTTCAAGGAGACCTGCCTCCTGCAACTTGGGTCACTCTCAACAGGATGTGGTGTTGGCACCAAGGCCATGGGACCAAAAGCCACAGGGAGGTGCTGGGAAGAGCAAGTATCAACTGGAGCCTCTAACTCACCTTGCCAACCTCCAGGCCAGACAACAAGGATGATGGCATGTCCCACCAGGGATGCTTTTGGCCCTAAGTATCCCTCAGCTTTTGGCCCTAAGTTAGCTGGGGTGTGTCCTGTGCAGGTGTGTGCCCTTCCCACCCCCAGCTGTGGTACAAGACTGGGAGGGGTGGCTGACAACACGCTGGAGGGTGGTGTTGCTGTCCAGAGACGGACTGGAGAAATGGGCTTGGCAGGGGCCTCGTGCAATTCAATGCTGGGAAGTGCAAAGTCCTGCACCACGGAAAGAACAACCCCATCCACCAGTATGCACTGGGGGCCACCCAGCTGGAAGACAGCTTGGTGGAAAATGCCCTGAGGGTGCTGGTGGACACCAACATGCCCTTGCAGCGGAGGCGGGAGATGGTGCCCGGGGAGGAGTGCTGCAGGATGGTGGAGGGAGGGGATCCTTCCCCTCCGCTCAGCGCTGCTGAGGCCACACCTGGAGCGCTGGGTCCAGTCCTGGGCTGCCCAGGGCAAGAGAGACATGGAACTCCTGGAGAGAGTCCAGAGGAGAGCAACTAGGATGATGAGGGGACTGGAGCATCTCCCCTACGAGGAAAGGCTGA